ATAATATAACTAGTTTAAATTTGTGTTGTATATATTATTACATATTATACAAACTTAAACAAATAAATAGTAATAAGGTAAAAATTCAATATGTGGTTGAAGTGAAATTTTGTTTGGTTTAAAAAGTATACTTGACTGAATAAATCAAAACTGGATAAACCAAAACCGATTAAACCGGACTTATTTGGTTTGGTTACGGTTATATTTGGATAACAAATCTCTTAAACCGCACCAATTAAACCAAAAATATATTAAATCGACTTAATTACACATGTAATAATTTAGTTTTAAAACATATTTGAAAAGAAGTGTTAATATTAAGTTATCAAAGGGTTTCTAGTTCAACGATATTAAATGGTGTCATCTCTCTTTAAGGTTGAGAGTTCAAGTCCCGTCGTGGACATAGATGGAATTAAGTGTTGGTTTAGAAGTAGATTATTATATATTTATATTTTTTTCCAAAAAAAAAATATCAAATCGTATTTAAAAAATATTTGAATCAATTTACGTAATACGAAAATATAATAAGTTGATAATTTTTTTTTAATTATTCACAAATTGTATTTATACATTTCTATTTTCCTAAAGCTTTGGTTCTAGTCAAGGTTCTAAATAACGTAAGGCGTGACTTGGCGGCAATGTCAAGCCTCAAGTTTTTTCGAGCCTTAGCGAGCCACATCGTTTGTAAGACGTGACTTAAGGCGGCAATTTTATATATAATTAATATTTTGATATGTATTTTCAACTATTATTTTATTTTATACACATATATGAGTTAAGACGGCGTTTTAGTAAGCTTGGCGGCAGACACAAACCTTGGTGTCATGGGGCACCATGGCGGAGCCATGACAAGCTTTTTAGAACCTTGGTTCTCTCGAAACGCCAAATAAAAATAATTAAATAAAAAAATTGAGGTTCTTTTTGGCTAAAAACACTTACTCACCCCTTAAATAACTTCTTCCATTGTATAGGGTTTTTTTTTTCTATCTAATGACTAATTTTCTTATTAATAAAATTCTTTTTGTTTGTTAAAATAAATTAAAACTAGATGAGGAACCCCGCTTTGCGGGGATGGATTCGGACAGCACCGGTCATTTTGGCCACTTCATGCTTGTTATTGATAGAAAGGTTTACATAGTAATTTGGAGTAAATATAGAGACTGTAATCCACTTACTCATCTAATATTACAAACAAACAGAGCAAACCCGCTTCGCGGGGGTTGGATTCGCCACTAATGTCATAGAAAACCGACCGAACTGGTGTCATCGTTTATCAGTCGTTTGTCATGGAAGTAGGATGCTATAGTTAGTTGAATATGAAAGTATGATGCTAAAAAATGAAGTAAAGTAGAAGCAAAATTGAGATCTATTCTCTTTTTAAAACACATATGTTGGGTTCTTAAAGCTACATAGATGAATAAAAACACATATCCAGTATTTAAGTATAATGATTAAATAAGGAATCATTAGAAAACATAGAAAAAAATCAAAGTCTAACACATTCGAAAAGAACCCATGGTTTACTGTAACAAATTTGAATGACCAACAATCTTAAAAAGCCAACTATTCGAAAATATTAGCTTCATTCTGACCCTGCATGAAGAAATACCCAAACTGAAAATTTAAAAAAAAAAGCTACAAAATTATTTTGACCAAATTTAGTCAAAGGCAGCACCAGTCCAACTGCTTCCTCTCGTGGGTACTGTTCCAATTCCTCCTCATTCACCTTTATCAGGTCTCCCTTGTAGCTTCAAACCCAATGGAACCTATAAATGAAGGAGAATAAGAAAACATATAAAAAAGGACCAATATACCCTTAAAAAAGTTGGAATGCATAAAAATGCATTTCGTGAACCTCATTCTTTGTTATTACCTTCTATGCAGTCGGCCAGATCGGTTGATTGCTAGACATACTATGATGACTAAACTGGCCGCAACAGTTGAGAGCCGGAAGCATAATTGTTCTTGGCCCGGGAGTGTGAGGATTGCAAATTACTTGGTAGTTTTATCTATATCTTGATAAGCTCTTGCAGCTTTGAGATCCCTTAAGTGCTGAATTTGTAAAAATTTCCAAATAGAAAAATTATAAATGGGTTTCAAATACCTATTATTTTCTAGGACCGACCAAAATGCCCTTTTTTGACGGGTACCTGAACCATTATTATTCTTAATGTACGTTTCACATCTTCTCCAATCCAAGAATCCGTGTAGTTGATTCTAAAGATCGAGTCAAGTTGTCCCCTTTATGGTCATACAAATGGAACAATTGGCAAGTAAAACTACTATAAATGAACAAATAAACATTGGAATCTTCTTTTATTAAAAAGTTAACATACTCACCTGAAATTCCACCACCAAATTAATTGTGAGGTCCACCTTCCCGAAATCTATAAAAATTGCATCATCTTTAGTTTATAAAGTATTGAGAAAATAACTCTTATACTGATAAACTAAAATGGATTTAAAATTACATAAACATGAAAATTTTTGAGGAGATATAAGCCAATGCATAAAGATACCAAACGAAAAGTTACCTAAATCTTGACACTAAAATATCTCAATCAAACTACTCAGATCATATATAAAAACTTGAATATGTCTTAACTTGTTGGGAGTTGGGACTTCTTCAAATCCTCTTTAGATAAGAGACTATCTTCATATATAACATCCATTTCATCAACAACCACAACTTTTTGTGAAACCTTCCAAGAAGGCTTCCTTCCCTTGACCTGATGACAATAAACCAAACTTCATTCATATATTATATAAATTTAACCACTTCAGTGTTTCATAAAAAATAATAATTTTGGGTCCCACAAATGGTGGCCTATTGACTTCTTTGAAGTTTTGCTTACCCCAAAAGACTGGAGACCTTCAGACAGCACCTCTGGCATCTAAACCACCTCAATATTTGAAAACCCTGCAACTAATAACTTGCGCCCAAGGGAGGATGTTGTCTGCAAAACAGGTAAGAGAGATTAATTAATTAAGACACAAACCTTAGATTAGTTTCACTTTGGGGAAGAAGATAAATATTTTACATTCTTTTTTGGCAGAATCAAAACTTTGATGAATAAAGATTTCTCCACCAGGCTTTAAAACCCGTGAAAATTCCCCAACCATGAAATCCATAGAGGATGGCTCCATTTGCAAAGAACCTATTACAGTGTTGTTCATTAATATAAGTTATAATACAGTTTAAAGAGGTAAATGGGAAGAAATTGATAGGTGAAATTAGAAAGGTACTTAGTGATGAAGCATGGTCAATGATTAAAGGATTGATCTTTTCAACTGCTTCATTCTTCACCATTCTTATTGAATTTAGTACTTCATGTAGAGTCATCACAGCATTCTCTATGAATTCAAATATGTTACTACCCACCATTTGTATGCCTTAAAATTTTGACAATAGTAGTCAGATTACTAAATCATGTGTATGATCATGTAACCTGTTATGATATGGTGCAAAAGCGATTTGCTGATTATGATTATCATTTCTGATCACGATTCTCTGATACTTTCAAGACACAATCATCCGATTTAGTTGCTGAAAGAACTGATTATCCAGAATAAATTAATTTTTCTGATGTACTTCAATCAAATAATTATATTGTTATCCGATTAATGATTGCAGAAGTGGCAATTATCACTATGAAAATGTCGACAGTGCACCAAATAGCCACATGCGGCATGCGTGTCTACTGAAGAACAAAAACTTTTCGAATGAGAACATGAATACACATGTTTAGGTTCGCAATATTACTTCAAAACCTTAAACTACAAATACGAACAAAATGAATTACCGTAAAAGCATAAAATTGAAGTTGGAACTCACCACTTAAGCACAACGCGGATAGCTTCAGTTAGGTCGAGCTGTAGGAAGGGGGGAAAAGTTGCTCTGCAAAAATACATATATAGGTTAGAATTGAGTTTATAGGGTCACCCAGAAAGTATAATGTGTATAAATGTTACCGGAAATGGATATGGATAGCGGCGACGATGGACAAAGATCGGAGATTTTTGAGGTAAAAGAAGCTTCTTTAATTTGAAGCTGGTATGTGTGAACTGTGAAGACTGAAAAGTCTTTCAGGATGAAATGAAATCGTATATTATATAGTTAACCACCCACCGGAATTCCAAAGCACGACAGCGGAAGTGAGTGGAGGCGGTGGCGTTCAGAAACACAAGCAGGGAAAACATACCTGGAGCAAGTAGAAACGGGTCCGTCTGGATCGATGAGACGGTGGTGGAGCAGAGGGTAAACGACGAATTGTTGTGGTTGAAGCTGGCGGAGGTCGTATGGTGGTCGGTACATCGCCTGAAGGCAGCGACGACAGGATGATGGTAGCTGAAGCAGGCGGAGATCGGCGATGCAGGCGGGTGTCCTTAGCGGAGTGTGTCGAGACGTCGTTGTCGACCTCTTCGTTTGATCGGAATGAGAAGCAAACGCAATTAAAAGCGGAGGTGTTGAAGATGGAATGAAAAGCGAACGCAATCAAAGAAGAAGCGGTGGGAAATCTGAGAGATACAGATTTCTGTGAAGCAAAGAGGCGGTGAGACGTCGGTGGAAAAAAGAAAACGAAAGCAAGAAACTGACACATATAAACTCGCTAACAAAAACGGTGAAGAAGAATAACACCGATCCAAATGTGATTGGGTTACAAAACGGTGAAGAAAGCTGTGAGGAACACGTGTCAACATGTGTCATAAAGAATTGAGAAAATGGCATAAAATGCCCCTACAAAAATCGGCAGCAACAAAGCCCGAAGAGAACACATACCAATAATCGAAGGACCAGTTTTGCCAAAACAGCTGGATGTTTACTATTCCTTACTTTGGTCCCTTTTTAATATGTATATAAATTAAAATTTTCTCAAAACCAAATCTATTATTCCACGTCATCAGCTGCCGTACTAACTAGAAAACAAACCTACCCTTTCAGCATTACGCTTCCCTCTGCTTCCTTTGTCTTCTTCTTCTCTCAAACTCTTCGCCCAAAACTCATTTCCTTTCGATCACTCTCCACCATTTCCAATTGTGTAACAATGGGGTCACTTTCTCCGTCGATCAACCCGAGGTTGGTTATTCAGGCGAATAGTTATGATCCGGTTTCCTTCTGCCGCGTGTTTGGGCCGGTTCTCACTGGTCCGCCGGCAAGACCTGACATGACCGGCGCTTGCAGGAGAAGTCGTCATCGTGCAGTGTACGCCAAGAAGAATTCAAATGAGGATTTTGTTAATTGCGATTCCGAGTGGAAATCTAAGTTCAAAAGAAGACTTCGAGAAGCGATTCAACATCCCTCACATTAGTGATTTCTTCCCTGACGCTGCTTCATATCCCTCCACTTTCTGTCTCAGCATGAGGTACCAAACGAATACTTGAAACTCAATTACCGATGCTATTGAATTTTTTTACTCGATCAAATTCCAATCTCACTGTTATATTCGCTCAAACATGCAAAATTGGGAAATTATCGAGTTACTGTTTCAGCTACTTAGACAAGTCGATTGTATACGCGAAAAAAAAAAAACTCCATTAACGTAAATTATCGACTAAAATCTCTCTTTTAAATGAAAATATAGTTAAAATTCAAATTTCTAATGTAAAAGGTCTGAATTCCATACACAAACGTGGAATCTACTTGTGAAATGCATGAACTAGGGAATAATTTCTTTGATATTTCAAGGATTCTATATCTGTACACAACCTTGTTTGAACTTTATACTTGAACTAATCCACAAATGGAGTGTAAAATTAGGTTATAATGCCTCTCTAAATTAAGGTAGTTATGTCTATGTATATCTTTGTCAATGACAAATCACAAATCACAAAATCTTGTACACCTTGTTTAGAAAGTCCCTTTAAACATCAGCATTTACATGTTCTTATGAGTTTATTTGCTTAATTTGTGGTGTAGGACTCCTGTAAATGAAGAATTTGCAGAAGGGTATCCTTCAGATGAGGAATGGTATGGATACATTAATAATGATGATAGAGTTCTACTCAAGGTACTACTATAAGTTACATTCTTTTCATTGATAGTTTTTCATAGTAAGATTAAGAACTACATTACATAGTTAATTAATTTGTTAATTGTTACATTACAATAATGCTGTATGACATATTGACATGTCACAGGTTATTCGATATTCATCCCTTTCATCTGCTGGAGCTGAATGCATTGATCCTGATTGTACATGGGTTGAACAATGGTAATAACTAATATATTATCAAAATAGTAAGATTTTAATTGTAAAAAATAAAGAAATTGAAATGTTTATATAGGATTCATCGGGCTGGCCCACGTGAGAAAATATACTTCAAACCAGAAAATGTGAAGGCTGCAATTGTAACTTGTGGGGGACTCTGTCCTGGACTTAATGATGTCATAAGACAAGTGAGTTTTTTTATTTATTTATTTTTTTTACTTTAAAAATACTTTCTTGTATTATAATTGTTAATATCTTCTCTTGTTCTTTGAGTGACTACTACAGATTGTCATCACACTTGAGATCTATGGTGTGAAAAAGATAGTTGGGATCCCTTTTGGGTATCGTGGATTTGGTAAAGAAATAGATGAAATTCCTGTAAGTTTTTTTTTATATATATTTTGGTAATATGACTAATATCTTCCTTTATTATATATATATAAAAAAAAGATTAATTTTGTTTTAATCAATCTTTGATGATTAGTTGTCAAGGAAAGTGGTTCAAAATGTTCATCTTTCGGGTGGAAGTTTGTTAGGAGTTTCTCGTGGAGGACCGAGTCTTGATGAAATTGTGGATAGCATGCAGGTTACTCATTTCTCTTTTTTACCCTTTTATAATTCGGGAAATTACATAAACGCCACTAACGTAATTTTCTCAATTAATTATTTATTTTCTAAACTTGTAATAGGATAGAGGAATCAACATGCTTTTTGTTCTAGGTGGAAATGGGACACATGCGGGTGCTAATTTAATACACAATGAGGTATAATCAATAATCATATATCATTTCACAAAATAACTTAATTCTTTAATACATCATTTTAATTTTTTAATTAATCTTGTATTATTTTAGTGTATAAAACGAGGGTTAAAAGTAGCTGTAGTTGGTGTTCCCAAAACTATAGACAATGATATTCTCCTCATGGATAAAACATTTGGTTTCGATACTGCTGTTGAAGAGGCACAAAGAGCTATAAATGCTGCATACATCGAGGTGGATTAATATTTTTTACTCATAATAGCAACATACTTTCTTTATTTTATAATGTTCAAAATTGATATATATGTTTAATACCTAAAATGCCCTTTGAGTTTCAGGCACATAGTGCTTATCGTGGTATTGGGATTGTGAAGTTGATGGGAAGGAGTAGTGGTTTTATAGCCATGCATGCGTCTCTTGCGAGTGGTCAAATTGATATTTGTTTAATACCAGAAGTACCCTTTGAATTGCATGGATCTCATGGTGTCTTAAATCATCTTAAATATTTACTCGAGACAAAGGGCTCTGCTGTCATTTGTGTAGCCGAGGGAGCTGGTCAGGTTAGTCAAAGGCTATGTTTGGTGTACTAGCTGATAGCTGAAAAGCTAGCTGTTAGCTGAAAAGTTAGCTGCTAGCTAATAAGTTAGCTGATAAAAAATGACGTTTAGTAAAAACTAATTGATAAGCTAGCTGTTAGATGAAAAACTAGCTGTTAGCTGAAAAGCTAGCTGATAAAAAATGATGATTGGTAAAACTAGGTGATAAGCTAGCTGAAATATATAAAATGACATAAAAGGGACATTTAGTAGAATATGTTTTTTTTTAATTAATTAGAGGTATATTTGATAAATTTTAAAAAAGCTCATTAAAAGCCAGTCTAAGTAGCTTTTTAAAAAAAAGCTACTTTTTGGCTTGACAAACATGACAACTTAAAAAAGCTCGAAAAATAAGATAGTTTATCAGCTAGCTGTGACACGTCAAACCCAGTCAAATTTTTAAAACGATTATTTTTATTTTTATTTTCTTCTATTGTATTTTTTATTTTTTTATTTATTTGAATTTAGAGTTTTTTGGAGAAAACAAATGCGAAAGATGCGTCTGGGAATGTTGTCTTAGGAGATATCGGTGTACATATACAACAAGAGGTTAGTGGATTATAGTATTCTCATTTCTCAATATCATATTATTTTAATTTTGATTATATCGTAATTATTTTAATATATTTCTTAGGTGAAAAAATATTTCAAGGAAATGGGGAATCCAACTGATGTAAAATACATTGATCCTACTTATATGATCCGTGCATGTCGAGCAAATGCATCAGATGGGATTTTATGCACAGTTCTTGGTCAAAATGCTGTAAGTTTATACAAGAAATAGAAATATACTTTTATATATTTAATTATGATTTTTTTTTTTTTGAAAAATGTGATTTAGGTCCATGGTGCATTTGCGGGATACAGTGGAATCACAGTTGGAATATGCAACACTCATTATGTCTACTTGCCAATTACTGAAGTCATTTCTTACCCAAAAATTGTTGACCAAAATAGTCGTATGTGGCATCGTTGTTTGACCTCTACAGGTCAACCAGACTTTCTTTAATCTTTAAAAAAACATTTTAATATGTTTATTTGACAAAAAATTAAACTCCACGTCAAAATTAGATTAAGAAAAAATGAATCTTTTTTTGAAGAAATAATACGAAAGGGCGATTGCAATTCGTTTGCCTAAATTTATTTAAGTGTAGTAGATGCGAAGCGTTTGTCTTGTTTGTTAAAACTTGGTTGCATACTTGCATTTGTGTTTCGCAAATAAACATCATTTAGCAAAATTATTCTAAGTTCATGGAACAAATGCTCTAATTAAATTGCAAAGTGGAAATACAGTACATGTAAAATATTCGTAAACTAATCAAAACGTAAATTGTAAAACAAAATAAATATCATTATGACATTATTCTAAGTTTGCGAATATAATAAAATGTAGGTATTGGTTATGTAAAATGTTGATAGACATAGACTATGACATTTACACTAATCAAAGAATAAAACGTATACTAATTAATAATAACTTGTAAAACGTTATTCTATGTCACAAGATATTTTTCTAAGATCCCGAAATGTTATAATTAAAGAAAGGGTGATGTTAAGCCTAGAAGGAGTGGTAACACTCCTAGCATCTTGTCACATCAAATTTTTGTCTGCCACATCATCTTTTTGTCTTAACACCTAAATCTTAGCATTTTATAATGAGTGGTAACACTCCTAGCACACCAATTTTTTTTTTCTTTTTCAAAATTAATTACATTATATTTTTTTTAAATAATTTTTTTTAAACCACAAACAATTAATATCAAATAAATTATATTTTTTAAAACACAATATTTCATATTAAATTAAAAAAGTTACAATAAAATTTTTGCAATGCCAATTCTAGAAATTTATGTTCTAAAAGAAGTTGTAAGTTAGGGTCGAATCTGTCATAAAACTAAAATTAAGGGACCAAAACAGCCAAATTGTGAAATTTGTGTCATCTTCCTCGTTTGCTACCTGACGAACAAATTGATAATATTTCTCTTTTTTTAACCTGTAAATTTCAATTTCATAGAAAAAACTCATTTGCCAATCATATTGTTCCATTTCTTTCTCTCTCCTCTCGCTAGACCCTTGGCGAACTCCTGCTAACGAGCTTCATGGCGAATATAGAGGAGTGATGCAGCCTCTCTTGACGAGGCTGTTGGCGAGAGGGGTGGCGAGGCCACTCCCTCCAGCCTAATAAGACACTTCTTAGACACCTCATTGACCCCTTTATAAAAAGTCAACCTATAATTAATTACTTATGAGCTTTTTCGGAAAACAATGCAATTTCAACCAATAAAAATATTTCAAAATTTAATTAGGGTGTTTTTATGGTAAAATGAGCTGTTTTTGATAGAAAAGTGATAGTTGCTTTATGTGATGTCAGTTTTTGTTATAAAGAAACTCATATTTCAAAGATTTTAAGCATTTTCATGAAATTAATGTCATTTCAGGTGTCCATTTAGTATTATTATTATTAATAGTGATGATACTCTTTTACAAAAATAAATTACTATATTACTTTTTAAGAAAAAAAACTTTTTTTAATACTGTCACACACACCCACTACTCTATTCCTAAATGTATAACTTTCGTGCTATACGAGACTTGGACATTCAACATTTGACTAATAAATATCTACCCGACAATTCTTTTGTATAAATAACATTTCTGTTTTACATGTATTATGATTGCATATGTGACACAACATACTATTATGTGTCAATTTGAGTTGTTAAGTTAGACGATGGAACTTTCAAATAAACTCATTGTACGAACAGTTTTTTTTAAACGTCAGAATTATATTAAAATAAGCTAGAAAAGGCAAATTAAAGTCATACAAGCAATTGTGTAGCCACTCAAATTAAGTTACATTTATTATACCTATTACTAATCCAAAAGAACGAATAAGAAATGATATCATCAGAGACATCCAATTTCTTACCGTTCAAAAAGGATGTTATTGTGAAATCTTCATAAAACCCAAAACACAGTGATAATTACTGCATCAAAACATGTTTTTGACCCGCATTGAGATTGAATGAATACCTCAGTTAATCTACGTGTGGACCGGACGATCTTGCTTTAGATATATAACATGGACTTTAGGAAATTGGTGCTTTAACAAAGAGTAACGAATCCAAACATCTTACCAAACCTCGGTACTATGACATTTCCCAATTTAATGTTGCACAAGTCATTCAAATCTAAGCCTCGCAAACACAATTGAGAAATAACCCTCGCCGCATTCACTTGTGACCTTATGCACATTGTGAAGACAAATATTTCGAAGATGGCCTTGATCCCTCATGCAAAGCTTTGATGAATTTGACCCACAAAACATCATGATTTAAAAAAAACCTTTCTCAACTTGAATAACCAAGCCCAACTGAAAGAAAATAGGCTATCGTCACCCAAACCACATCTTCTTATTCATCATACAAACGTTGTTACAAGTCGATTGTATTTGTGAAAAGATTTACCGACATGTGTCGTTAGGTTTACAAAATTGATCATTAATTGTAAAAGAGTAAGTGTTGATTTGTGTGATAATTTCTTTGACCTTATTTCCTCTGTCGAGACTTAACAATAGGCCAAGGGGAGCCGCCCCTTACCGGTCCGGAAGCACCGCCCCTAAAAGAAATTTTCGAAGGGTTCTGTACTCAAGCAAGGTTTGCGGTGCTTGAGGTCAAGGTTTGTATTGCTTGAGAGCAAGGTTTGTGATGCTTTATAGCAAGGTCTATGGTGCTTGGGAGCAAGGTGTGCTATATAGAGCAATGTGTGCTATCTAGAGGACATTTTCAGTTGATAACATTTTTGGTTTAACCCACAAATAGTTTTTTTAGGTCAACTTGTCATTCTAAATAGATCACCTTTTATCTCTGTAACCTTAAGCAAAAAACATGTGTGTGTATGACATATGTATTTCTACAAGTCACATAAAATCTATCTATAGTTTTGTTCGTGATTTAGCCGATATCTAAGCATGCGAACCATGTTTTGTGCACTATGTTATTATTTCATGATGTTCTTATTTTATTCGCATCTTTATTGTGTTGTGTTTACCAATTACTTATCCTGACAATTAACGTTATAATTAAACAACTAAAATCAAACAAAGTAAGATTTGTTTTGATTGTTTGAACCAAACACCAAATCGAAAATCAATTAAGATCAAACAAACAAACAAAATTTTATTAGATTGGATTATTATTATTATTATTATTATTATAGAAAATATGTATTAAGGTCTCATTATTTTACTAATTTACGAATAAGTCTCAAATTAAAACTTATTTATGAAAAATCATAAATTACCGGTAAAAGTGATGATTTGGCTTCTTTTTTTTTTTTTTGGTTTACCGATTTCATTGCTAACCTGGACGTCTAGTCATTAAATGAGCGGGAAAATCTCTATTAAAGTCTCCTTATTTTACACTAATTTACGAATAAGTTTTAAACTAAAATTTATTTACGGAAAAGCATGAATTATCGGTAAAAGTATTGATTTGGGCATTTTCTCCCTGCAACATATATTTGACCGGTTTCATTGTTGACCTAAACCTTAGTCATTAAATGAGCCGATGAGATTGGTATGATGAGTTATATAATGTTACATTTAACGTAAAACTTGATATCCATCTCATCAGCTCATTTAATGATTAGACGTCCATCTCAACAATGAAACTGGTAAAATGCGTGTTATCGGGAAAAAATGACGGACAATGAGTTGATGAGATGGATATGATGTGTTACCTAAAATTAGATAAGACGGTTTGGGATTTCTTATAAACTTAAAAAATGATGAAGTTGTTGCTAGTTTATATAATTATTGTAGTCTTTGTTGGATGCATTTCATATTCCAAAAAAATACAATGCAACTAGATATCAAATTTTACAGTAGGCGTAACATTATATAACTTATCATATCCAACTTATCAGTTCATTTAATGACTAGGCGTCCAGATCAACAATAAAATCGGTAAAATGTGTGTTATAAGGATAAAAAGAGAAAAATCATCATTTTTACTAATAATTTATGTTTTTTCGTTAACAAATTTTAGTTTGACACTTATTCATAAATTATGGTAAAATAATGAGATAATGAAGATTTCCCTAACTCATTTAATGACTAGGCATTCAAATAAACAATAAACCGGTAAATTGAAAAAAAAAATAATCAAATCATCACTTGAACCGGTAATTGATGTTTTTTCATAAATAAATGGGATAATGACTTAAAAGGGTAATATATTTTTCGATTTGTACACATTTGGTCACTGAGTTTTTTTTTCGTCCACATTTACCACTTCAACTTGTTAAACTGTATATATTCAGTCCTTATGACCGGCTACTACAGGTTACCCGGTAAAAATGACTTAATAGGGTAATATATTTCTCACTTTGTACACATTTAGTCTTTAATATTTTTGTACACATTTAGTCCTTTTTTTTTTTTTTTTTGCAAAATAAGTCATTTTTTTGTACTCATTCAGTATTTATGAATGATTTTTTAGTTTTTTCTCACGAAATCTTACGTGAGACATTCATTAATGAGATGTATGGGGCTTTTGATGCTTATATCCATCGCGATCTCGACTACTTGGTTGCTTAGGTCATGTGTTCTGAACGTCATAACTTCTTCATATGATCTCAAATTTTAACGATCTTTATATCCATGCCTTCGTATTTTAGTCTACTACAACTTTCATTTAGATTACTCCCATTAAAAAATAATATATTTTTACTTACGATTTTTATATCCATACGCGGTGGTGGATTTAGTATAGTCCCGGTGTTGCACCGACAACACATGTTTTTTCTGTTCGCAGTGGAAAATTTTTCGCTTTTTTTTTCGTTTATACCTATTTTCCATGTATCGGCAACACCTATTTCATCTCGGCAACACCTATTATGTATTACTGCGTCTTCCCCTGTCCATACGTTTTTTTATGAATGCATGTATGTATGTTGTTTTTTTTTTATAAAATCGTTAGTAAAAATATATTACATTTTAACGAGAGTAATCTTAATGAAACTTGTAGTAGACTCAAAAAATGAACACGTGGATAAAGATCCTTAAAATCTGATATCGTATGAAGAAGTTACAATGTTCAAAATACAAGACCTAAGCCAAGCCACAAGACTTACGCAACCAAGCAGTCGAGATCGCATTGGACATAAGCATCAACAACCCCAAGCACCTCATCAATGATTGTCTCACGTAAGATGTCGTGAAAAAAACTAAAGAAATCATTCATAAGTACTGAATGAGTACAAAAAAAGGACTTATTTTGAAACAAAAAAAATGTTAAGGACTAAATATGTACAAAAATATTAAGGACTAAATGTGTACAAAATGAAAAATATATTACCCTATCAAGTCATTTTTCCCGGCTAACCTGGAGTAACATGTCATAAGGACCGAATGTGTACAATTTAACAAGTTTAAGGGGTAAATGTGGACGGAAAAAAAACTCAGTGACCAAATGTGTATAAATCGAATAATATGTTACCCTTTTAAGTCATTATCCCTAAATAAATTTTAATTTAAGATTTTTTGGTAAAATATGAGATTTCTCAGATATTATTGTTTTAATACTCTATAAAACAAATTTAAAATATCTTTTTGGCGAAAAAGTGAGAGCCACGTTTTATCGGCAAACTTTGTTTTTATTCTTTATTTTGAATTCAGACGAAGCTCCCTTGCAAAACATAGAACCCTACTAGAACCAGCTAAAACCCCAAACGCTTTTTACGACAATGGAGCTCTGCACTTCTACTCGTTGCATCCCAAATCGTCTACCAAATCTTACATCCTTTACCCCTTACAGAACTTGCTTGCAATGGAAATTCTCTGTCCCTTTGAAACCAAACTCGATTTCTCGCAACAATCAAGGTGCACATTCTCTCACTCGTAACTGTTTTACTCATCTGCTTTTTTTGTTCAATTTTCGATTCATGATCTTAAATACACTTCATAAATCGAATATTGTTAGATATAATTAGTTTCTGGATCATTTTGGCTTCTACCTGCGAGTATAGGGCTCAGATCTCTTTGAATATACTGCTTTCAAGGAAATATGTAATTTGATGATTCTATACGAAAAAACGCTGTATTCAATATTGCTCCTTGTTAACCCTAAACTTACAGTATTCATTGCTTTGTACGATTGCGTCCATTGTTGCCAAAATGATGAATTTCAGGACAAGATCTATAAAACTTTTTGTGTTGATAAGTAATATATTTAATTCTCTCTGACATTAAGTTCATCAACACATACTTATTCATCCAGATGTGCAACATGAAAATTGAGAATCATCAATGACCTAGAGGAGATATTGGTTTCATGGAAAACGAACTGATTCTCATTATCTCATATACTTTGCTTCATAGGATCACGCCATTACAACTACTCTTCTATAAAAGCATCAGCTTCTGATGAAACATCAAGTGGAGCAAATCAGTATGTCAAAGAAGAACCAAAAGTACTCAACTACTCACCAGTAGAAGAATCACCAAATCCTGATGAATCATCAAATGGAGCAAATCAATATGTCAATGAAGAACCTGATAGTGGAGTGACGGAAGCTCAATCTGAGGAGAAAAGTGGATTTGGAGGATTTAGTCTATTCAAAGATGATGATGCCACATCAGATGATCAATTCCCTCAGTTTGATTTTCTAAACAAACTCAATATGGAGGTATGCTTAATGCTTTTACTCATAGATATAATCTTACAACAACTTTATGAATCTTCTCTTTTTGATCTATGAATTGACTACATACTTTTACTTGTTTTGTAGTTGGATTTTGAGGACACCTTTTCAATTTCTTTACTCGGTGTAGGTGGTGTTACAGCCTTATGGTTAACTGCATCAATAGTTGGAGCCATTGATAATATACCTTTGGTGTGTTATTTAGTTTTTATATTTGCTAATTTAAAATCATAATATAATAATATATACCATAACCTCTATATATAAATTAATTTCATTTTTGTGTTATCAGTTTCCAAAATTGATGGAAGTTGTAGGCCTTGGCTACACTATCTGGTTTAGCACACGCTACTTGCTCTTTAAGGTATATTATATAGGCAATAAATAGCAACATATTTTTATTTACTTCAATAAATGATATTGATTATTTATTTTGTAGAAAAACAGAGATGAATTGGCATCAAAGATTGAAGAAATTAAGCAACAGGTTTTGGGGTCGAAAAATTGACATGTGAGATCACTGAAATTATCCTTTTTACATAACTCTAGATTTCATACTAGCTTTTAGTTATAATAGGATGATGCTTATATGTGAATAAATACAAAGTTTGAGGCTGTGTCTATTTTCTTTATAGTTGAATTATGGAGAATTGAAGTATTTTGAATTTTTGAGATGAGGTGTCTTAAGTTTTAAAATTTATGATTATATAAAGTTGTTTCATTTTAGCTTATTAAATATACATGCAAGTTTATAGCTATTATATGCAAGTTGTTTCATTTTAGTATGTGATGTGATAATATGGTTTGATAAGATAAATGATATTTTAAAAATATTTTGGGCATGTTTGGCAATGAGTAGTTGATAAAGAAAAACTTGATGGGTGACAATTCATAACACAGACACTATCAAAATATAAAACATGAAACGAAATTAGGATGGAATTCAATTTTGAATTTGTGTTCTTGTCAACTGTTAAAAAACACAATGTCATGTTCGTATTCAAAAAGTCGACATAATGTTAACATTTGTTTGTGGTGTTTGTTGTGGTTTTTATGATTAGTTATGAATTAAATAAACTGAAAGTTTATTTCATTCTTATCTTTTTCTTTTTTTGTTCTGTTGGTCGTTTATATCGTGTTAGAATTGATTCGTATTTGTGTTATTACTCAAAAAAACGACGTCATTTATTGTCATGTTCGTATTATATAAAAAATTGTCATTATCATGCCGTGTCAGCTAAAAACACGACATTGGTAATATATGAACACATTCATATGATATAAGCAAAAAAACAGTTGTTTCAAAAAAGTTTTTCACTAATATCCGAATTTATAGGGAAAATGACTTGTTAGGATAATTACTTTTTCGTTTTGTTCATGTTTAGACAATTTTTTTTAAAATAAACGTTAAACGTGTTCACATATTACCATTGTCATATGCTATAACAACTGACATTAGTAATATATGAACACATTTACCAAGTTAAATTGTCAAATGCATATAAAAAAATTGCCTAAATGTAAACAATTATTATTATTATTATTATTATTATTTTTAATTTCATAAAACTTTTTATAATTTCTTATAATATTTTTATGATATTTTTTTCCTATAGGTTTTTCTAATACAATATTTTAATTTTTTCTTATAAATTTTTATAACTTTTTATAACTTTTTTTTATACTTTCATATAGTTTTAATACAAGTGCTTTTAAAACAAATATTTTCTAAATGTTTTAAATTTATCTTACAAGGTTTTAACTTTTTTTTTTTACATTTTCATACAATTTTTTTTATAAACTTCATACAATTCATTCTAAACTTTTTTACAACATTTTTAAAGTGTTTCACAAATTTTGTATGACAATTTAATACTTTTTTATAGCATTTTAAAAATATTTTTTGTTAAATACTAGTTTAAAACGTTGTATTAAAAAAAATTAAAAGTTTATAAACTTCTAATAAAAAAGTATTAAAATATTGTAATATTTTTAAAACATTTACATTATATAGATTCTTTTTTGTTTTTTTATTTGCTACATAATATTTTTATTTTATTGTTTTAAAAGATCATCCATACTTATTGTTATATATTTAATTTATTTAATTTTATTGTTAGATACTGTTTACTTTAAAAAGATTGTATATGCATAAAAACAAAAGATAATAAATATAAGGCTATATAAATATTTACAAAACAAAAACATATTTATTAATTAAAAAGTAAAGTTTAGAATTGATCAATATTAAATTATATTTAGGACATTATAGATACTTTAGATATACGGTTTGAAACAAAATAATACAAATAAATATGAAAAATAAAATCGCTATTAAAAGTGGGGTAAATGACTTATCATGATAATTAACTTTTCGTTTTATTCATATTTAGACAATTTCTGTTTTTTTTAACATTTGACCATTTAACTTGTTAAATGTGTTCACATGTTACTTGAGATAGTTGGTGACAATTGTAATATGTGAACACATATAATAAATTAAATGGTCAAAATGCATAAAAAAAATTTTTTGCCTAAAGGTGAACAAAGCCACAAAGATAATTATCTTGATAAGTAATTTTCCCAAATTTATATACATATATTCTTGTTTATTAATTTCAATGTCGATTGAAAAAAGATATTGTAACATAAAACATTCTTAATTAGAACTTATCATAAATGAAAGGATAAATTAATAGCAACAAACAATACGATATACTTGGTCAATATGAAAGCTATATATGAAAACACCCATATCCCGATGTATCATTAGGATCCTTATATAACATATCAACGCCTTCTTCATCCTTCTACCATATCCATACCTTCAACCATTGCGTGGTGGCCAAAAGTAAAACATGTGAAAGGAAAAAAAAATAAGTTGAGAAGAAAAGGGCAACAAAAATGGAGGAGGACATACTCAGTGATATTCCCGAAGCCTTGCAACTTCGTATCCTCTCTTGTCTTGATGCGAAACAAGCTGTTCAAACATCGATGTTGTCAAGAACTTGGGTTTCTTTGTGGACTAAGATCCCAGTTCTTGAATACAACCGTAAGCATATTTACAAGCGTCAGGAGAAGCGAGTCTTAGAAGATCTGCTGTTTTTCTTCTCTAGACTTCATAATGTCAAATCGTTAATGCTTTACTCGCCTATTGCTCTTCTTCTAAATTTCTATCCAGATGAGTTGATGAAGCGTAGTTCACCCTTTCGGGTGTTGACGAACGTGAAGCTGGAATTTCAGGTTCATTGTGGTCGAGCGCTTGACTTATGTGACGACTCATGTAAGGAATCGGCGTTTAAATGTGTGAAAGAATACTTGCTCCAGCATGTTCCTGATGCCACATTTACCGTCACTCTTCTTAAAGTCGATGAATGGTGCGATGACGATGTTTCAGATATTTTTGGGTTTAATTGACTTAGATCAACAATCCTTGCCACGTAACTTGTTCATAGGATTTTAAGTCTCCTTTGAAAGGAGTAGATCGAGAAGAGGATCTTCCAATAATTGACATTTGATTAAAGTATTAGAACAAGTTCTTGCAAATCACATGGAGATGGCATGTCATTAAAATTAACCCTATGTCTTTCAATTGTTCAAAGTTTAGTTGCAATGCAACCTGGATTTTATATTATTTACATCGTTTTCTCTTTCAATGACAATACATATCCCACTAATTTAAAAAGACTATTACATTTCTTTATTTTTTTTAATTTATTTATTGCTTATATCATATTTAATAATAAGATTAATGCAAGTGGGACCTACGTGACATAGCCTCTCTCTCTCTCTCTCTCTCTCTCTCTCTCTCTCTCTCTCTCTCTCTCTCTCTCTCTCTCTCTCTCTCTCTCTCTCTCTCTCTCTCTCTCTCTCTCTCTCTCTCTCTCTCATTCATTGTAGATGATGAATCCCAAATCCAAAAAACTTAACCCATCTAAAACATGATACCCATTGCCTAGTGCCGAGACTCAACAAAGTCAATTTTCCCTAGTGTCGAAACGTGTTTTTTATGGACTCGACCGTGTAACTTTATGTAAAGGTACGATTATTCGAACTTTTTGATGTTTTTCATATAAGATCTTTCTGAAACTTGACCAACAACATTCCAACATCATCCTAAGAGTGTTCCACGATTCGAACTACCTGAAAAACAGCCAAAAATCGTGCAAATCAAAAGATTCTACAAATTTACATAAAAATTCAAAAATATACAAAATTCATGAGTTTTAAAGATTAAAAGTTATTTATATGTATGGAATAGATATCCTAAAGGATGCATAAAATGAATCTAACAAAATCTTGGCTTTATTGTTAATGAGGCTAATGACTTTCCTGAAACTTACCGACTAAAATCAAAGATTATTAAGTATAACTTCAAATGTGTGAACGATTTACGATTTGTTGTTCTTTTTCGTAACAATTGCTGTTTTTCTTGTCATTTTTTTTGTTAAAAGTTTAAGCCAATGACTTTATTTTAAGGCTGCTAATAATGTGGCAGACGGTCTTTTTGATAAATGGACTTGGAAAAAACTTTCCCCTGCAATAAAGGATACACTAAAACAACATTTAGGGGTAAATTATTTATATAAAAATATTTTATATGGTTAATTATGACTGGTTTTACTTGGTTAACCATTTTTTATAGACAAAGTTTGATTTGGATCAGATGTATAGAGATCCAGACGCTGCTATGTTGTCAGAGAGTTTTGAAGCAACTTTGTTAAAAGGTTATCGAGAGCGTAAAGCTGATGCAAAAGAATAATTTTTGAAAGTCGGAGGATATGAGGATATCCCGAGAGCATTAGCCACCCCCAGATGATATGGATAGTGATAATTGGAGGAAAGCAGTCGAGTATTTTCAAACCGACGAACACAGAGTTGCTTCAGAAAGGAACAAAAAAGTTCGTGAAATGCAAACGATCGAGAACCGTGGGGGGTCGAGTTCGTATAACAGTACTTTCTATAAGAAGGTAACGTATGATACATGTAATTATTTATTTAAAATATAATCTAATTTTTAATGTTAAACTGTAACACCCGTTCCAAGTATCATCTAAAAATTTCCAAGTTTTATGGTTTTAAGTTAGGACTCGACGAGTTGGGGAGCTCCAACTCGTCGAGTAGAGATCATTTATGAGGACGCGGGATTTAGATCCTACTCGACGAGTCGGAAGGCCCCGACTCGACGAGTAGGCGCTGTAAAGGAAAACCCTAATTTTTAGGGTTTGCACCTTATATAATGTAACGCCCGTAGATCTGAGCTAGTCAATTTAGAGACGATAAGCGTCAAAAATGACTTTTTAATAGAAGATTATTTAGAATGAATAATCTTAACCAAGTCATAGTATATGTTACAAGGGTTCCGTACATATACAGAATGCCGAAATCCGAGTTATAACGAAGAAGTTATGGCCAGTCGAAGTTTTACGGCAAAACCGGCACGGCACCGGGAGACGTAAATAGTGAATTTACGATAGAGGACTTTTTGGCCTTAGTAATCTAAATGAAAGTTGTAGAATATGTTAAACCGAGAGCGTCCATAAAAAGAACGCCCAAATCTGACTTCGTATGAGGAAGTTATGAATTTTCTAAGATTTTACATAGCAGTGCACAACCCGAAACTCGAATTTTAGATCGAGCGGTTTTTGGCCTACGCGACCTAAAGGATAATTGAAGATCTCATTAATAGGAACTCAACGGTAAAAAGACAGACGAAAACGGAGTCTGTATGTAGAAGTTATGAATTTTACGCGGACATTTAACAGTATAATCTCCTCGTACTGTTAAATTTAAGATCGGTCGAGAATTAGCCAACGGAGTCAAAATGAAAGTTGTAGATCTTATTTTTACCTACGCATGGATATAAAGAACGTCAAAAACGGAGGTCGTATGTAAAAGTTACGGATTTTAGAAGTCGGAAGTGTGTTGTGCGAAAATGGGTGATGTGGCACAATCTTAGCCATTGCTTTCTCCCCAAGTCTTGCCACTAGATGGTGACATGTGGCACCAATTTCAACCATTTTCACCCTATAAATAGAACCTCTCCCACCCTCATTTTCTTCACACATTTCCCATTCTTTCTTTCTCTCACTAGTTTCTCTCTCTAACCCACCAACCCCCCCCCCCCCCCCCGCCGAAAAGCCTAGGGAACCTCCCTAGCACGAGGTGGAAGCCCCGGAGTGCTCGACGGCTCCGAGAAGAAGAGCTTTTCGGCTCGGGAATGCTGCTCCAAGCAAAGCCTGGTTTTCTATAAAATCCGCTGTAAGTGAGCTACGCCTACGCTATTTTAATATATCGTTTATTTAATTATAGTAACGTTATTAGGAACTTATAATAAGTACTTGGGCTATTATTATGGGTTATATAAGTATTGTTTAACGCTTATATAATAGTAATAATAGCTAGACTATTAATTAGTCTCGGCGAATAATAGACTAAACTCTAGTGGTAATAATACTATGTTTCGTCGAAGGAAATTATTTTTAAGAAGCGAAGCGCTGTCTGAGTTCGGATTCACCACCTTTTCAAGTGAGTGCATAGTTACTTTCATCTTACACATAGATATGAAGTATTTTATATAAATTACGTGGTATGTGTGCATATTATTTGAATACTTGCTTTCTATGCTGGATGAACGATATTATACATGTTTAAAATAATTTAAAATGTATATGTATGTTATATCTACGAATATGTTGGGTAAAAAATATGGGTAGATGAATGATGAGAGATGAAAGATGACATGAGTGAACATTGGCAGCTATAGACTTAGTGCCTAACAAATAACATCGACAGCTATGGACTTAGTGCCTATAGAATAAACATTGGTAGCTATGGACTTAGTACCTGTTAAATAAACGTTGGTAGCTATGGATTTAGTACCTATTAGCTGAACACCGGTAGCTATGGATTTAGTACCCGATGAATGAACTTTAGCATCTATGGAATTAGTGCTTTACGAACAAGCATTGGCAGCTATGGACTTAGTGCCTATCATATAAACTCTGGAAGCAATGGGCTTCGAAATGAACGAATGCAGGATAGATGATTCTTAGGGTAGATCCTTAAGAGTAAGGAAGATAATGGGGATGGGTAATTGGGTTGATTGTTTGATGTTTAAACATAATAATTAAATTATTGTGGGTTGAAAACCCTATGTACTCACCAGGTTTCCCAACCTGACCCACTCAAGCTTATTTGTATCACAGGTGTCGATATGAAGCTACTTTACACTGAGGGATTTAAAAGAGATGTAGATCACTAGTGTAAATGAATGTAAGTTCTGTTTATGCTTATGTTTCCGTATTGACGATGACATCCCAAATGTTTTAAAATGGATAAAAATACATTTCTTCAGAAATGCTTTGATAACGTATTTATCATGTTTTTCTGGGAAGAAATTCCGCAACATTTTTATTAAAAGAGGTACTCTGATTTTTATAAAGCATAAACAAAATCGGTCTTTTCTGGCCGTGAAAAATGGGGATGTCACAGTTGGTATCAGAGCATTAGTTTAAGCGAACTAGGAATATGGATTTATTTCTAGACTTAAACTTAGAATGCAAAGCAATGATGGTGAGGAGTGTGTCTAATAAATTTTAGGAAAGTACACCTAAATAGACACGAGCACTAGCTCATTTAGGGAAGATGCCTAAATTGCTTTATGTGCTAAATGATTGTGATGTTTTATGATGTTATCGTTTGATCGGATCTATGGTCTGCTGCCGACCGGATCTGGAAATTTTATGTGTTCAGATTTCTAAACGTTTGATTACGGTATTAGAACTGGCATGTAACTTTCGGAGTAATAAGGAGGATTACACGTCTAAATCTTCTCTATCTATATTCTCGTCTCAATGCACTGAATGCATGCTTCCGTGAAAATAACGTCATGGTGAAGACTCATAGAGAATTGAGTAAATAAAGGAAATGAAAAGTCTTATGATAGTGAATGATACCTATCGGAAGATATCGTAAGAGTGGTATCTTGCCTTTAGAATATGTCAGGCAATACGTTTAGAGGAGTACGGTACGTCCGAAGTACACCTTCGATTGGCGGGATGATGGAATGATTGGTGTAATTCCCGAAGTTGTCCCATCGTATGGCATTTCCACCACCAACCGAGTTGAAGCAGAATTGATGATTGAAGATACGCATGGAGGAAGTCCTAGTAGAGTCTAGGGAAAAATTATATGATTGTTTGGACACATTTGTATGTGTTAAAATTGTTTTTGTGATAATAAATTGGAGAACTGCGAGACAATACTTGGGACGAGTATGAGTAGGTGTGAATGGTAGTAGAGGCCTATACTACCGGAAGCACATGACTCACGCTTGGATCAGGGAAAGTCACAAGGTTACCAAGAAGCTAGTAATTGATACCGTTTTATTCAAATATGTCGTTACCATCGTTCGG